AATTTAAGGGGGTCTGAATACTTTCCGTACCCACTGTACATGTTGGCTGGGAAGAAGCAACAAAAAAAGAACATGTTGACGTCAAAATTAAATTATCAAAAACAGAAGGGAACAGTTTAGTGTGGAAAATGATAATGCAAAAATGGCAGCAGCAGTGGGATAATGAAATCAAAAGGAGACATCTGTGCATGATACAAAATATGATAGTTATGGAAAGTAAGGGATAATGATATCAAAGGGAGACATCTGTACATGATACAAAGTATGATAGGTATGGAAAGTAAGAAGGGAAATAAAAGGAAGGAACATGTCATAATAAATAGACAGAGGATTGGGCATTGCAAGCTAAACAAAACTCTTCATTTGATAGGAAAACACCCGACAGGACTATGTGATGAATGTCAGGAGGAGGAGTCAATTAAGCACATCTTTATATCATGTAAGAAATATATACAAGAAAGGCAAGAGTTCAAGAATCAGCTACGGGAAATAGGTATAGTAGAGTATGTTAAAAATATAGTAACATATGGAAATAGGCTAATGACCAAGGACGGAGATATTTGTTTAATTTTCTACGGAGGACTGGACTCGAAGGACGAATTTAATTAAGATATAAGTTAAAGTGAGACAGCAGATGGCAGTAATGCAATACTATGGATGCCAACGGCCGTAAAACTCAAATGAAGAAGAAGAAGAGCAGGTCCAGCCGCAAGGGGGCACTGTGCTTTTGCAACTTTCTGCTAATATTAGTAGAAATAGAAAGAAACATCCGGGTATTGTTCCACCGCAAAAGAAACGAATGATAGAAGGAGGTTGTCGCATTCTGCTGCTAACTACAGGGATACAGCGAATTGCTTTCTTTATTCATTAACATGGCGGCAAGTACATTTGTTTGATTATTGTTTTGGGCGAGATTACAGTTGAGAAAAACATATAATTAATGAAACAGTAATTCATTGGCTGCATTCTGTACTCGGAAAATGGCGGATACCTTATTTTAAACTAAGTAGAAAAGAATGAAGGCTCAAAACGATGATGTGAACTAAAATGCCAACCTGTTATGTTAAAAATTTAGAGTGTATCTGAGATGACAAATGATTTGATTTTGTGAGAATTTGCTGTACTTTAATATCATGCACATAAACAGGCGGCGATTAGCTGGCCAACGTAATTCGCGGCTAACGTGATACAATTTACGGTTCTTATTACTTAGGACAACACTCAAATTGTACTAAGTATTAATAATCAATGAGCGGTTTGATACGTTTGCATGCTTTACTTATTTTGCATAATTATTTTGAATTTGAGATTTGTCTCCAATCAGGCAAATGACGCCAAATACTATGAGTCCCAGTCCGGAAAATCGCACACAGATGAAGATCGTCAGCGGAGCTCGAAGCATTGCTCGCGGTCCAGATCACGATCAGTGGACCGAAAGCGCAAGTCAGGTAGACCAGGTTCATTAATAATGACATTTCGCAGTCATTCTCATTAAAAAAAAGCACTGCCAAAAAAAGATTAAGCCTTAAAACTCGAACGTTAAGTTATTGGCAAGATTTTAAAGGGGCTACATTTCCTATTTATAACAATAATTGCAGTGTATTTAGACACCTTCATTTTCACTAAAATGCTTTTTCATGTTCACATAAATCATGAACACTCCAGTCCATACCCTACAATGACATTTAGTAAAATTGATTTTGTACAATCTAATTTTTACACAAATCTAGTAAAAACTAGATTTTTGAGTCGTTACATGGATTGGCAGGTTGTTGTTGGATTGGTTCTTGTTTTAATTATGAACTTAATTCGTTCTGATCAGTTCCACAGAAAATAAGACCTCTTACAGTGTCGTATTTCATTTTGAATAGTTTGATTTAAGGATCTTCAGACATTAGTACTGAAAAAAAAAATATATATAACTTTTTTGCCGTGTGATCAGAAAAAATTAAGCCCAACCATATTGTAGTGGTTGGGAGGAGCTATTAAGGCCTGTAAGCTTTTTTTTTTGGTTAAAATCGTTTAAAAAAGTAATGGAGACATTTTGCGTTTCCTTCAATTTATTCCCCCTAAATGTTCTTTACTTGACCTTTAAAAAGTCTTAAATTTACCCTTATCAAACCTGCAGAAAGTCTGCATACATTCCATAAAATAAATAAATGAAACTGCTGAAATAAATCAAGATCCCCCTACCCCCCACTTTATGTGGGGGGTAGGGGGATTATTGATTGGACGTCTTACATGTGTAACAATGTTTTTGTAATTCAATTTTTAAATACTAAGATTACAAACTTTACGTTTGTTAAAACTAATGTCTAGATTTTATTTATAAACTAAATATGTATAGTAGGGATGCACCGAATATTCGGCAACCGAAATTATTCTGCCGAAAATAGCAAAAAAATCTCTTTCGGTGTTCGGCCGAATAATATGTACCGAACAATGACTAACGCGATCAAATAGAGCACGCACTAATGCAGCAAACATGTCGGCAGTGTGAACGTATTTAAAACTATCGGAGAAAGACGCCGAAATCATTACATGCACGAAGCACCGACAGCGAGAGACTGTTTAGTGCTGCATCACGTCTCCGATGAGAAGAGGTGGCTAATGCTGGTGGTTAGGTTACTGTATGATGATTGAAATCGCGAAATTTCTTTAAACGATTAGTAAATCAACTGCAGAATGTTATATTTTCTAGTGCACGCACGAATTGCATGTATTCTGACAGCGCTGCACGAGCTCGCGGCGCCAGGGTTCTAAGTCCAAAATGCGAGGAAAATCTGCGCTGGACTTGTTACTCGTCAGTTGCTCAGTAACATTTTTGTGAATTTTTTTTTAAAGGCATGTGACAATGTGATACGTGCGACAAACATCTTCCCAAATTCGTAATGAGAATCATTTATAAATCTGCATGCTGTTGTCAACAAAAAGAAGCACTGAGATCTTCCTGCGGGTTTCTGCCAAAATAAAAGCCGAGAAAAAGCAACAACTCCATCGACATTCAGAAATGATAGTCTTGTAATTTTACTGTCGTTCTGTATAATAATACGATAATAATAATTACCCTACAACAGCTCTATTAATACATTTATTAAGCCTTTAACATTCACACATAGTGTTCAAATTGGCATCTGTAATATATTCTAATGTTTTAAAAGAAGTCTTTTCTGCTCAGCACCTTATTAATTTTAAGTTAAATTGTGCTTTGTTGGTATAATGTCTGCTAGAATGAAAAAAAAATGTTCAGTGTTAAGTAAATATTTTTAAATTGTTGTTTTGTAATTTATTTTTTATTTGAACAGCAGGACAAAACAGTAAAAAGCACATTTTGGCAATTTACTTAATGCAATGGTGAAAAAAACAATGGCAAAATAGGCCTACATGGGGGAAAAATGTGAAAATCGGTATTCGGCCTTCGGCCCAGTGTTTCATTTTGTTCGGCTTCGGCCAAGAATTTTCATTTCGGTGCATCCCTAATGTATAGCCTATGTTCTAAACTAAAGAAACTGTAAGGAGGTGTTTGCTCAGTTATGGGGAATATATGTTGCTGTCAAGGTTTTTTTTTTTGTTTTTTTTTTTGGCCCAATCACTGTAAATTAAATGCTTTGGCAAATGCTTGTAATATAAATCCTTCAGTGTCCTTCCGACAATAAGTCATTTGTATCTTCTTGTCTTTTAGGAGACAAGAGGCACAGACGAAGCCACAGCAGAAGCAAAGAGGTAACTAATTTTAGTCCATTGATGTCATGTAGACCTAAATGAAACTGGTCACATCATCAGTAGTTTTACAGCTGGCATTTCTAGTTTTAGTCCAGGGTAAGTATGCAGCTTAGACAGAAGGAATGAAATGCCAGACTGAGAAGAAAAGCACTGAGATGTAATCACAAGTGCATGTAATCTTAAATTTTATTAATATGGATTACAGATGGAGAGAAATGTCTGTTTGGGAGCTTTTTTAACGTCCTGTATTTTAGATCATATGATAACATTTCTATAATAAATTATACTCAGCGTGCTAATGCACGAAGAGACACTCTGAACAGAAGACGCTGCTGACAGATAGCAAAATTATATGCCTACTACCTGGACAGGTAACTATCAGTCATTTAAACTTATTTGCCTATTAAACGATATCTTTTTGTCTCACAACCCCAGTTACTGCCTTTTTTGTAAATACCAACAGAATTGCAATTAAAAAATGAGTGGCCATTCTCAATGTGAATGCATGCAGATTTGCATACTATTGAAATACTTTTTAAAATATATTTTTCATATATATTTGTTTGGTCATAATTGGATTGAAGGTCTTAAGGGCATTTTACGCTGTACACAGTGACCGTGAGTTTTCGGTTAATTTTTTTGTGGGAGAGCAGGACAGGTGATAGAATGGGCTCATTCACATGAATCATGCCACTTTGTTGTGTACGACCACATTTTATTCATATTATATTATTTATTTATTTTTTAACCTATTCCACCCTACAAAGCCTAAACACAGTGGTGTTTTTTATTGATTGTGAAAGCTGCATTAACTTCAAAACAAAACTCTAAAGCCTTTTTTCTCATTTTTGGTTGGTGGTGTTGCTGTATTTTGCCTTGGTATAGCAGCATTACTTTTGCATTTCTCAAAAGAAAATCCACACACTTTATGAAGAAATAAATATTGTATTACCTAAACTTAAAAAATAAATGTAGTTTAGCCTCACGGAATGCAATATTTAAACAGTAATCACCTCAGACATGTTTTCACTCAATAGCACAAGCGAGCATCATTGTTTGTTACCACTGAAACTTGTGATTATGTGGTTTAAATAGCTTATTGTATGTATAGAAATGTGCCTGTACACATAGGAGGTGGCAAGATGGCAAGAAAAGCTTTCTTGTATCATGTAAAATGCCCTTTAAAGTCAACATGAAACCAAACCCAGTTTACTTTCGTAATGTGAATTTTCTGAGTTAAAATAATAATAATAACAATTAATTTTATTCATCTTGAATTGTGGCCTCGGGAGACAAGCCAAAAGTTTAACCCATTTAATCTGCATATAAAACATTAGAAATGGAATATTTTTTTAATTTTTATTTTGTTTTTGACTGTTAAAACAAAAAAAAAATTGTTGTTTGTCTCAATAAATTGAGTTAATTTAAAAATACAGTGGTTAAATGTAAAAAAAAATTCTATTGCTCTTTGTTTTGAAAAAGGTTATAAAAAAATGTCAATAATTATCGATACAGAACGATATGAAACATTATATCGTTGATACATTTTTTAGCTATATTGCCCAGCCCTAGATGTATGGTAATTTAGAATATTTTATATTTTGAGCCTCTACCTACTGGAAACCAAGATGATGGCTAGGTCAAATTCACTCGAGCATCTTTACAAATCCATCAAGACAAAGCAAAAACTAGATTTGTCAGTTAATTACATTTTGAAGAAAGATTGACAAGATAAACATTTGAACCAAGAAGTCAAGTAGAGTTAGACCAGGAATGTGTAAGTAAATGGGGTTCATTTTGATTTCATGTTGACTTTTATGTTTATGTAGGAGAAAAACAGTGCATATGAGAAAAGAAAATGCCAGTGCGAAATCTGTGTACATTTCTCGCAATAAGGCTCACCCATGCTTTTTTTTGGTACTGAACTGGGTGTAAATGTGCTGGTTAAGTGCACTCATTTGTGTTAAATGTAATTGTATATGCTGCACTTGGATGGTGGTGGAAGTTGACATAGGGATTTTGTCATTTAAAAACTGTTTTTCTTGTCAGAATTATTTTGGCAAGTTTGTTCTTAAACCAACTTACTAACTCTCTTTATTGCACTATTTTCCTGAAAGAGACCAATTCTTCTTAAAACAGGCACGGAAGAAGGACTCTGAGAAAGCTCTGAAATGTCAGAGCGGATCAGAGGAGCAGCTGGAGATGTCAGATAAAGGCCGTGACAGGCTGTCTGAAGACATGGAGGAGCGGCATCGCCGAAAAGACAAGAAATCCTCCAGACCAAGAAGCCTGTCAAGATCACGTTCAAGGGAAAGGTATTTTCATTTGACAAATCGTTTTGATTTAATTTAACATTGGCTGAATTTATGCAACAACTGAATGTGTTAAGGTTTAGTGTTCTTAGAGGTTAATTAATATTTTACTGAAGACGACACCATAATCGAAACTGGGACAAAAGAAGATCTCGCTCACGAAGCGGTGAAAGGAGATCAAGGAGTCGTGACAAGAAGAGACGGGCCAGATCTCGATCAAACTCCAGAAGCAAGCACAGACATCACAGCTGGAGCCGTAGCAAGAGCAGGTCGGACGAAGATTGTGTGTTCATGATTTTGCATGAAACTCAATGAAATTGAATTTGTACTAAAACTATGAGATGATCCAATTTTATCTAGGGAGAAGAAGAAGAGGTCAGAGAAAGCACGGAGAAAAAGTCGCAGTCGGTCAGCTAGCCCTGTGACCTTCAGGGGCAGAAACACAGCCATGGATGCTCAGGAGGCATTGGCCAGAAGGTAGAGTGCTGTCGTCTTCCCCGTCGTACAAAAAAAACTATTTGGATTTTGTACACTGTATATAGGGGTGTGCGATATGACAATTTTTGATCGAGAATTATAAAAATGTTTACACAATCTGCTTTTGAAGAAATATCGTAGGATCGTGCTACAGCACACATTCAATCAGTTGCAGTTCTGACGCCTCCATATCAATATACTGTACAATAGGGCTGGGTTTTGACACAAATTTCACGATTCGATTCGATTCTCATTCACAAGCCTTCGATTCGATTACCAATTCAATTCCATTTCTATTATTTTGGATACATATCAGGTACAGTACATGCGACATTTTCTCAAGGAAAAAAAATCTCAACTAATGCTGTGAAATATACATGAGAGTCAGTTACTACATTATAATATTGAAGGTTAAAATTGACTGATTTGTGCTGTTCAACTGCTTAAATTGCACTTAATGAAGTTTTTATAATTAAGTTACAATTACGTCAGTTAGTTTTTTTTAAAGGGGTCATATGATGCCATTTAAATTTTTCCTTTCTCTTTGAAGTGCTAAAAGCTCTTGGTGCATAAAGAAAATCTGTAAAGTTGCAAAGACCAAGTCTCAAATCCAAAGAGATATTCTTTATAAAAGTTAAGAGTCAACCATGCCTACCTAAAACGGCTCGTTCTAACACGCCCCCACATGTCTACGTCACGATGTGGGAAGATTTGCATAACGCCGCCCAAATGTTTACGCAAAAAAAGAAGGCGTAACTTTATGTCCCCACTGGATGCAACAAATGTCTCGTTTATAATAGGTTTTAATGTTTTTGTCTCGTCGTTCGTCACACGCTTGAGGTATTCGGCCAATCACAACGCACTGGATAGCTGGCGAATCAGAGCAAACCTCGCTATTCAGACCGATGAGCTTTGTAAAAATCAACGCGTTTCAGAAAGGCGAGTCCAGCCGTTCCTCACTCTAGGCCGCCGGCCTCCGCTCACTCTAGCCCGCCTGTGTTTTGTTGTGAAAGCGAAACTACTTTGTTTGACCTTCCAAAAGAGGACATGACTAGAAATCAGTGGTTAAGTTGTAAGTTTATGGTCACCAAATATGCTTTCTGATGTAAATGTGATGTTACATGAATTGTTTACAAGCTCTTATATTGACGTCTTTGCTTGGCTGAAACACTAATTGAGAGAATACATGAGACAGGATACAGATTGGAAAGTTGTACTCTCTTTTAACTTACCTTCGGATGTTTAGTCATGTTTATTTTGTGCTGAAACTGGTATTAATGTGGAGGAGATGATCATTTCACGTGCGCCTCGCACTGCCGCGTCTGTTGATCTGAGGTGCTACAGCGATCTGTCATTCTACATTAAACAGCGCCAAAACAGCATTTATTGTTTGAATTCTGCAATACAATGGACATAAATTGAAATCTGAGACTTTGTTTCATATTTAAAGTACCAACGCACAATGCTTATTGCGATATATTGGATGGGAGGTGCGCTTCAATGTTCCATCCATTAACTGAAAACAGGCTAGACTAATCAATTCTTGGGATATAAGAATCGATATCGTTTCGTAAAAATGAGAATCGATTAAAATCATGATTTCGATATTTTTTACCCAGCCCTACTGTACAATGCCACATACATTCACATCTAATGTTAACTCAGCGGTAAAGTTACTCACAGGACACTGCACTTATTCGCAATCACAAAAGTACATTATTTGCATGTGCTTTAAAGCCTTGCCGGTTAAATGTTTCATTCATGTGCTGGTCAGATGTGCGCTTTTTCTGAGTGCTGCGTACACCTGAAGTGCGTGCACTAAAAAGTAGGGCTACATGATCAATCAAAATGAAATCGAAACTGATAGTAGGAAAAAAATACTATGGAAGTCACTGTAGACCAGCAACTGTTTGGTTTTCCACGTTCCTCAAAATAGCATTTATGTTCAGCTGAAGAAAGAAACTCATTCAGGTTTAAAACAAATTTTGAGCGAGTAAATGATGGTATAATAATAAAACACTATGACCGAATTGACAGACAGATGACAGAATTTTTATTTTTGGGTGAACTATTCCTTTAACGTTAATAAAACAACAAAACGCAAAGAGAAAAATCACTCACTACTCTTGACTGAAGAACTTTTAATACAGTTGCTTTAGGAATCAGTCTATATAGTGTTTTATTTTTATATTTGTTCATTCAATTTCTTGAATGCTCCTGCTAAATACACATATTGTACCTGAAAATAAAGCACTGTTTGTTTTATTTGTGTATTATGTGTAGTTTTAATGTGTATCTTTGTTCTTATTTTTTAATAACAAAGATAAAATAATGGCAAAGATTTTTATCTTTGCCCACTTTGGCCTAAATATCTGCCATTCTTTTTTTTTCTTTTTTTTGTGACCTTGAAAGGCTTTGTCTTTATAATAGGGAAATTAGCTTGGCTGTACTGCTCAGACAACTTGCAAAATAGTAAAACCAACATGACAAAGAATCATGATATTTCTAAAAAAAAATCGTGATATGATATTTTTGCCATATGGCCCACCCCTATCTCAGACAATAAATATCGCACATCCCTAGTTTCAGTATTATTTTGAGGTATCCTGCAGCCCTAATCAAGCTATTTTAGACCGATTCAAAACTACCCATTGTGAAAACCACCTAAAGTATCTGACTAGATTTGTGAGGTTTGAATTTCCTTGTAGTCTTCATGTTCACTAAATATATTTTCCTCACATTCTTAGGTTGGAGAGGGCAAAGAAGCTTCAAGAACAGAAGGAAAAAGAGTTGTTGGAAAAACGGCAACAACAAGAGATGGCAGCAGGCAAGTAACTGCTGCAAATCATCTGCCTATTGGTGCAGTGGCTTCATATCTGACCCACTGCAGCAGACATCCATCTGATATGTTGTTGGTTGTTTCCTAACAGCAGCAGCTCCACTGTTGTGCGATACGACCACTGCAGCACCCAGTTCAGGCCTGAACGTTGCAGCACTGCTGGCCTCTGGCACACAGGTCACTCCTCAGATCGCAATGGCTGCTCAGATGGCAGCGCTTCAGGCCAAAACGCTGGCAGAGACTGGCATTGCTGTGCCAAGCTACTATAATCCCTCAGCGGTGAACCCAATGAAGTTTGCAGAGCAAGAAAAGAAGAGGAAAATGTTGTGGCAGGGGAAAAAAGATGGGGTGAGGCCAAGAAAGTCTCTGTTGTATAGATTTTTAATATAGGGTTGTTGGCAGTTGGCAAGATACCACTTATATTGTTTGCATTGATCTGTTTATTATAAGTTTTATTTAATATACAATTCATTTTTCTATTTGCTGTACATGTTCCTCCACTTCTGAGTCTATGGTAGCCCATAGAACAGTTTATGGGAAAGTAATTACATTTGATAGACAAAGGATAGTTTGAACGTTAACCAGAGCAAATTTGGATTTTCTAACCCAAAACCTGTAGCACTACCAACAGTTCAAATTTGCATTTGTTTGTTCAATCTTGACTTTTTTTTATAACTTTTGAACCGTTCAAACGATTCCAAAAACAGTCCAAAAAAATCATAAGTTGACTCTTAGACACAGAAAATAATCTTTATTCTTTATCTCATTTTGTCTTTGATAAATGATTCGCTTTTGCAAAGTACTTACTGCCTCTGATACTAGTTATCTCAAGACATAAGATTTTAAGGATGTCAAAAGTAGTGTTTACTTTTGACATCCTTAAAATCTTATGTCTTGAGATGTTCAGTATTAATATATGTTTATGTTGTAGGACAAGTCACAAACAGCTGAGCTTTGGGAGAAGCTGAATTTTGGTAATAAAGACCAAAATGTGAAATTTCGCAAACTAATGGGCATCAAAGTAAGTGTTCTCCTGTATTACGTTTTTATTCAGAATATTCTAAATGTGTGAACTGGAGAAATTGTTCATTTTAATATATAAATGTTGTTTGTTGTTTTATTTTTTATTTTATTATTTTTATACTGTCATAGACTTCACTAATATTTTGAATTGGCTGTTAATTTTTAGTAACTTTGTCATGTTTATTAGTTTTAATATTTAGCTTTATTTCAGTTTTATTTTTTAAACTTATTCCATGGTCTGTCTGAATACTGGATTCTGATTGACTGGTAGGTATGCAGTAAAACTGTTTAATGCACAGGTAGTTCCAAGTCAGTTTAATCACCATTCTATATTAATGCGCTACTTTAATTGATGCATTGCACACAAACCGACACACACACACAGAGAGAGAGAGAGAGAGTCGCAGATCGCACACGTAAACTTGTCAACACTTCCCTGCAATTTTTATTAATAAAATAGCCTAGATACTAGATCGCTACATTATATACCTCAGCAACGAGGTGGTAAAATCGCTGTTTATGAAGTAATTAATCGTTTGTAGACAGACGCAGCATGCATACGCACATACAACTATCATCTCTCCCTTTCTCTCTCTCGATCGATAATTAATTGAAATAAATGCTATAATTAATTCAAATAATATAAAAATAATAATAACCGCACTATTTAATCTCTGTGTCTGATTTGAAGCGGGCAGAATGCTAGAGCTAACGTGCCGTAACTGACTAAAATAACTAATTTTTACCCATTCGGTCAAATATTGCACTGCAAAGAGCAATATTAGTTTTAACTTGTCTATAACTTGGCAAATGACCATGGAATAAGTGGAATAATCAATGGCTTGCCATGCATTAAAGGATTTTAAATCCTTTAATGCACGGCAAGCCGTTGATTATTCCTTACACATTTCAGTTAGTTACCAAGGCAACATTTCTAATTTTCTTTTAGTTTGTTTTTCATCAATTTCTGAATTTGTTTTATTTTAGCTTTATTTCAACAAAAATGTTTCAAATTTATGTTAATGATAACCCTGTTGTGTTCACTTTAGGGTGAAGAAGAAGGTAGTTCATCAGGAGCTGGTAACGAAGAAGGTCTTAAAACCTTGCAGCAGCAGGAAGAGATGTTCCGCAATCTGGACGTCCAGTATGAGATGGCCCGTTCACAGACACACACGCAGAGGGGAATGGGCCTAGGTTTCTCCTCTTCGTTTTCTTCAAGGGGCATGGATGCTGTCTGAACATTCTGTATTTGTGCTTCTCATTTCTGTAAATTCTGGCTGATGTTGCCACTGTAAAGCTGGTTTGTATGTGTTTGTAGATAATGCTTGTGCATTAGCCTGCATGTATGATTCATCAGGTCTGTCATTTTATTCATTTTGGAAATTCACATGTAAATACAGTTGATTGCTCAAACATATATTGTCGCTTGGTTTCTAAAGATTGTGTTTAATATTGTAAAGCTTTTGTTTGGATTTTGGGAGGGGAATGTGATTGTATATTTCACTGTGTTTGTATTGACACTGTCTGAAGCTAGCGATTCCTGATATATCATAGCCCCTGGTGGGTACCAGGGGCTATGATATATTGTGAATGCTTCACGGCTTTTTATGAAATGATTACTACATAAATATATCAAGAACACAAATTAACATGACAGGCCATCATCAGTTTGAGTTGGGGAAAAAAACACAATTTCACAGAACAATAAAATAATTTACCACACAAAATACATTTCATCATTCATGAATATCATACATTTTTGATTCCTTATTACACCAACAGAAACTGAAGTGGAAAAATTAAAACGATTGAAATCTAAACGTACTATTTGCCTAGTCCTTGTACTAACTTACTGTACAATACTGCAATATTACTTCAGATTCTGTGGTTCTTAATAGATAAGTTGGGTCTAGGCTGAGCTACTTCTAATTAAACTACTTGATCAAATAAATGATTAGAAATAGCTGTCATGTGTGTTCCAGCAGAATGTCAACTGCTCACTGAAGTTAATCAAGTTTTTGTGGGACCACTAAGGAGTTCCTGTATGAAGGCAGTTCTTTTACATTTTGGCTGATGTAATCTTAAAAATAAACGTAGGTAAACATACATAGGCTATACTTTGAACACTTAGTATAGTTGCATGACAATATTTGTTCAAATCAAAATCCAAAATTAAATTGAAAATATCCTTTTCAAACCAAAGTGCCTCAGTGCATTTCGGATAAAATAGTAATCAGAACATCCCCAATCTTTGTTTTTTTGGCATATTCAAATACCATTTCTTTACGCATAAGACAGAATCATCTGTTGAATCATGCAGAACACAAAAACTGCACTTCTCCTGGAGACCCATCTGTCTAATATAGAGCACATGAAGCTACGCAGAAACCTGGGCTGCGTTTCCCAAAAGCATCGTAAGCCTAAATTGATCGTATCTCCATTGGTTTCTATGGGTCTTAAGCACTTAAGGGTACTTAAGCTTATGATGCTTTTGGGAAACACAGTCCTGGGTGGCTGGTTTATCATTCTTTCAAATCCAACAGCAAAGGCATTACCCCATTTATCTTGAGGTCCTGAAAATAACCCTTTTCAGCACGGCTTACTCTGCCTCACAACAATGTGCAGCTTACGCCTTCACCCAATAATTTGTCATGATTCTATATGGGCTTCAGTTAATCATCACACCTGGCGGATGTTTCCATTGCATCAGCTACTGACACAGCATCACGTTCTCTACTCAGAGAACCAGGGTTACATAGGTAGATGTTTTTGTGACATTGATTCACAAATATAACATTTGGCATTTGTAATTCCAAAATTGCTGGACGACAATTGTGAGACTACTAGACCACATTATTTTAATGAACCTTGAAGCACCTGTCCATAATTCTAGGAGCTCTTCCATTAGAAATGTGAACACATTGGAGTCTATGACTGATAGAAGGCCTTGAGCTTGAGTGGAGTGGATGACCATGCCAGAGTTGAAAGGGGTGGAGATCCACAGGGACCACTGACCATGGCAGAGTTGGGATCGATAGACCATGGTCGATTCAGAAGGACAAGGGACCCTGATCAAGCCAGAATGCTGGAGGACCATGGTGGAGTCAAGGGACTGGAGATCCATGTAAAAATGAAGGGTTGTAGGGCAGAGGCAGATTTGTGCCCTCGAAGGGCCAAGGTGGGGCCAAATGGTCGTAGACTGAAACCCTGAGACCATGGTGGCACTGGCTGACAAGGAGACTCATGGCCTGAGAAGTCATGGCCTAAGAAGTGGACAAAACCAGTGAATCATTTAAGCTGGATAGAACTAATGTAGGGGAATGGGTTAGGGAACTGGACAGAACCAGGGGATCACCTATGCTGGAAGGAACCAGCAGAGGAGGAGAAGTCGGGGAACTGGATAGAACCAGACAGTAATTCATGCTGGACTGGGACCAGCGGGCAGAGGAGGAAGGTCTATGGCTCCAGACGAGACCAGATAATCTAGCCAGCCGTACAGGACTAGACAAGACTGACAGACCGATTTTTGACTTCCTCAACCATGGTAAAAAAGAGATCCAGTCACTTGGAGGGCCAGGTCAAAAAATTGGAGCAGTGTCCCTTGATGATATTCATATAACTGAAGAAATTAACCGGTACCCTCCAAAATGTAACAAGTCAAGGCTGTATCCTCAGGCCCTTCTTTACTATCTACACGAGTGACTGCATGGCCAAATACAGCTCCAAACAAAAAATGTATAATTAAATAACCTGGAGAAGTCTGAAGACGACTAAGTAGTTGTAAATAGCATCATTAACAGTGATGAAGAGGCTTACGTAGAACAAGTGGACATCCTTCTACATGGTGTCGTAATAAAAATATCTCCCTAAATGTCAATAAGCCTAAGGAGATGATCATTGATGATGGGAGGAAGCAGGCGAGGAAATACAGCCCCCTGATGATCAATGGTGCAATGGTTGAGAAGAAGACCAGCTTCAAATACGTTGGGGTCCACCTCACAGAAGGTCTTTGCTAGACAACACACACACATCAGACAGTGTCTGTGCCACCTCCAATGTCAAGGTCTCCAACAGGGTGCTGAGAACTTTCTACATTGGGGTTGTGGAGTGTCTACCCACAAGGAGCATCATCGGCTGACTTGAGATCCACCATGGGCCGGGACTGAAAGGTGCTGTCCAAAGTGATGAGGACAGCAGAGAAGGCCATCAGGACCTCTCTTCCCTGGATCACTGATATTTACAACCAGCGATACAGGGCCAGGTGACTCATTAAAGACTTTCACCACACCAGACATAGACTCTTCACAGTTCTTCCATCAGGGAAGCTCTACCAAATCCTATATTCTATTTTATTTAGATATTTTACTCTTTTCTGTTAGACATCCAAACATAGAATTTGTTAGAACCCTATTGTATTTGTACTTTTTTTGCCAATTATTCATTTTCTGCTCTAAAAGAATCCGGGCAACAGAGACATCAAGTCATAGAAATGTCAGCCTTGGTGGGATAAATCCAAACCAAATAATTTTGGTTTATCAAGCATTACAAAGTTATAAGCCATGTAATTGGCCTTATATCACCCATTTTGATGATCTGATCTATATTCAGATTTAACTAAACTTAACTCATAGACAACAGGGCATTCTGAGGATGCACAATAAAAGTTGCATGAAATTCTGCCCATAGGGGATGCTACAACTGAAAGCCATAACACCACAACAGTTTGATCAAGGAAAATTAAATATGATGTGAACGCTAGGAGAGTTACAGCAATGCCTAAACGATTAGACCTTTATATCAAAGTAAATGACAGAAGAAGACTGTAATACTTTAATGTTATCCACGTGGTAAGAAACCACTTTCAGGTACAAGTGTATATGGTTAAATATCTTCACCCCAAAAAAGGCATAGAAATTAATTTGTAGAACCTTCTGAGTTTGATTAAATTAATGATT